GAGAGAGAGAGAGAGAGAGAGAGAGGGAGAGAGAGAGGGGGGGGAGAGAGAGAGAGAGTCACACAGTATATAGTTAGTTCACATACTTTATGATCATAGAGTGTATCTATTAGTGTAATGAATCGTCTTCCTTGAGTCCTCATTTGGTTAGTAATGCATGGAATATCTTGTATGAATATTGTATTGAATGCTTTACATATTTCAATGTAATCAGCAGCACTTAGGGGCTATAGCAAACAAAATAAATAAACAACAACAACAACAACAACAATAATAATCTTCAATTCCCTCATTCCTATTACTCTATTAGTCCATTGATACAGTGAGTGTGTGCTGTAGTGTACTAGTAGTTACTGGTAAAACCACAAATAAAAACAAATCATTACTAGTACTAGTATAAAGTCACTGTACAAAGTATATATATACAGGAACCAGTTAATTGAATTACAATCACTCATTCCTTGAAGGATGACTCATATACACTTGTCTAGACACCTACACATGGTAACAGTAGCCATGTACTATAAAGTAACTGTACATCCATACATGTAATGGAAATACTGTACTATACTGCATACTGTTTTACTGAGTGTCATACTATTATACTGGTAAAACCATGTACATGTAGTATATTATAGGAATCATTTATTAATGGAAAAACAATTACAACCACAACCACATCTTATACTATACTACTAATGTACTAGTACAGTACAGTATATAGTTCCTCTTTTGAGAGACCACCCTTGGGTTATGGGAAGTGTTGTTTTTACAATAGGGTGGTTTTTCATTTACTGGTTTTTCATTACTGGTTTTACCAGTAATTTTGACCGGAAATTTCTGCTTTCCTTTGTCAACAAGCCTTCCAGGAGGACCAGGATAGAGCTTTACAGATAAGATAGGGCACCTTCTAGGCGTATTTTTATGGCATATCATAATGTATGCGTGTGTTGAGTATATGTCCAAAATACAAGCAGAAAAGTGGGCATGGCCAAAATCACAACGTGCTTTGCGTGCCATTTTCCTCGCCCGTCTACTCTGCCAATCCTGCCACTGCATATGAGTACATGTACATCACTTACCCTGTTACAAAGCTCATCAAAGTGGAAATATGCCAAGTCAGCACATGACTGGTCTATGAGTAGCTCTCGTCCTAAAAACTTTAACTTGGTCCGTGAAATAACTAAAAGAAGAGAAAGGGAATTAAGAAAGAAGGTCTGGGCCACACTTCAGTTAGTGGTATAAGATTAATTCTGAGTTTAATGAGCATATCCTACCCATCAAAAATGAGTGAATTATTGGTCATAATGCTCAACTTATCATCTTATAGTACATTTACATGTACATCATGTGCAGTGTGTGTGTGTGTGTGTGTGTGTGTGTGTGTGTGTGTGTGTGTGTGTGTGTGTGTGTGTGTGTGTGTGTGTGTGTGTGTGTGTGTGTGTGTGTGTGTGTGTGGTTACAAACCT